CTTTGAGAGATACCCCTCCGATGTTTCCCCCCTCTTTTTTCTTTTTTTCCTTTTTCCAAAAAAACAAAACAGGAGCCCCAAATCCATGAAACTGCTCCTTCCGGGCCTCTCTGTAGCAGCACCCACTTACAAACAACCCGCCTGTTACCGGATCATTCCAGAGTTCCTGACATGGAACTGCATTTCTCCAGGCCGAGGGACTGACAACCCTCAAATTCTTACGACAATTAAGGGTGATGGACTGATTACATCGTCTTCACATCTCTTTACGTTTCCTGCCACTTTCTTTATTTCGACTGAAGAAGCCACTGTGTAGGCGAAACGTTTCGGAATAAAGTTTGTCTAAGCTGTTGCATATGTGTCTTACCTAACAGCCTGTCGGTATTGTATACCATTTATATGTGTTCATCTTGTCAGACACTGCAACACTGCAAATCTTGGTACAGAAAACACCTTGGACAAGACTTTTTCAAGTGAGAAGGGTTGGGATCTGATAAGGGATACATGACCTCTCAGTTGCCTCTCACTACTAATACTACTACTAACTACTACTACAATCCCTGCACCTCCCTTCCGACAGTATTTAAGTCCCCTCCGCACTGTCGCTTGATCTTCATGATAGTTCCTGACTATGGAACTGAAATTCTCTCCAGCCCGAGGGACTGACAACCTCAAATTCCCTACGACTTTAAGGGTGATGACTGATTACATCGTCTTCACATCTCTACTGTTCCTGCCTACTTTCTGTATTCGATTGAAGACATCCTACTTTGTAGGCGAAACGTTTGGAATAAAGTCGTCTAACTGTTGCCTATGTGTCTTGCCTAACAGCCTGTCGGTATTGTATACCATTTTGATGTTCAACTTTTCTGTACTCGACTGAAGAACCCTACTGTGTATGCGAAACTTTTTCGAAATAAAATATACCTAACTTTTGCATACGTGTTCCTCACCTAAAACCAGTTATTTGCCATCTATTTTGATTCTTGAGAAGGCACATGAAACAACATATATCACTTTGCTATAGCTTGTGCAGACGCTGGCTGTTGGCCTCATTGCATTTTCTTAACTCAACATGCGGTCAACTGTAGTTTCCAATTGGGCCACTGCTCCAAGTTTAAGATTTTTCTACTACTAAAACTCACCTAATTACTTTTGCTATACGTTTTCTATCATACCATGATAATCCATTGTACCTGCATGGTTCACGTTCCCAGATTGTGATACTGTCAGGTTTTCTCGGCCTTCTGTTTGGACCGTTGGTCATCCTGGAAACCTCATATACCTCCTGAAGGCAACTTGTCATACCCGGCTGAACTTCCTTAAAATCCTCGCTCAACTTTCATGGGGCTGATCCTCGAACACCTCCCTACACCTGCATTTCTGCCCTAATTTACGAAACTAGATTATGGTACCAGATAATTCAGCAGCCTCTCCTACAACCTTTTCAAGCCTTGATCCCACCATCACCAGGGATTAATGTTATGCCTAGGGGCATTTCGCTCTTTACCTCGTGAGAGCTACTATGCAGAGACGAATTTCTAACCATTGACCGATCACGATGATGCTCATGGCCTCCTGCTGATGTTTGTTTCGCTCTCATGACCTGTGCAATCCTTCCTTACATTAAGTATGGTACGGATGTTAGTAAACTTCCTTATTTGTCCCTTTATCTTCATCAACATTCCACTTTTTGCTTCTCATCCAGTTGCAAACCTTTTCAATGGTCACGTACATCTAACTTTTTCCCTTCTCCATAGGGAATGGGATGGTCCGACGGTTTCGTATCTGTTACTTCCCCACTGTCAATGCGCGAAAATCCCAATACTACGGTTGCTCTTGCTTACCTTTTTCTAATCACTTTCCAGTCTCATTCCTCATCATCGAAGTATACACCGCTTGTTCCAAGTCTTCTGACGGTTCTCTAGGATTTCTGCAGCAGTGTATCCAAACAGCGTCGTACGTGGGCAATTAATAGCCTCGGCTAGTATTTTACAGCTGAATTGTATGCCATTCTCGTAGCACTTATCCGTTATGCATCTATGCCTTTGTCACAATTCATGTCCGTTTCAAGACTCCCTTAGTGCTTTGCAGTTATACGAAAATTATCGATTAACCTCATCCCCTGGATCTCGTATCCAACTTTGGTTATGCCGTATCTGTAGCAATGCACAAAGATAAAGTTTTTGTAATGGGTCCCTGGTCATGTTGATGTACAGGCAATGAACAGAAGACACTACGCTGCGCGGACAGCAGTACATGACCTCCCAGGTTTCATATTGAAGTGTTCCATTCATGGACTACTTGTGCTGGTGATTTCTACCCCCTTTTGCAACCGTTGGCAACAACGTTGGTCTTATCTCTATATAACAAATTGCACTCTACTATACCAAGTATAGTTTCGGTCGTCTTCTGTCATCATTATCAAGGTGGAGACTGCACTCTTCTCGCTGTACATCTCATCGGGTATCTCATGGGCGGGCACCCTGTCCCACTCTGTAAGAATTGTCAGGTTCGAGTTTCTGTTGAAGCCCATTGTTTCTGTTGGACTTTTCCCTCTGTCAACGGAGCAACGCAGAATTTACAACCTCCCACGTCATCTGATTTAATGCAGCAAATATTATTCCGAGAGGCTGCGGCCTTTCGATTTTTTTTTTGCTTCATACTGACTTCCTTAAATTTTTCTTAAGTTAGACATAAAAAAATATTCGCATGACTTTAAAAATCGAATTATTCATTAATTAAAAAAGTTTTTTGGATCTAGACCATGATTTACTTCGCTTTGCATTCTTCTGCGGCTGTAATGCGACTCCCTGTTTTATCGTTTTTTTTTGGATTACGCTGAAAACCAATTCTTTGCAAGAAGCGGGCAGAAGCATTTCCCCGATGCATCCAAGATGAGGTCATTATGTAAATGGTACCTCAGGGAAACTGGATGCACTTGTTACCGGGGAAAATCTGTGAGAAATTTTTAGTAAACTCTTTCAGTGCAGGTTTACACTCTGCCAATAACAGCTGCAGTAGCAGCAGCACATCCCAAGCGCCTGTCCTTTTTTTAAAGTTCCCAGGGGATTTACATGTTAGTTGACTGTTGTGAGTCGCATTTTGGGGGACAAGATGAAGGACTAAAAAGAAATAAGACAGTCCTCAATAACCCGCCTGACTTTCTTTTTTTTCCCTTTGGTGGCTAACCCTCTGGGTTTAAAAATCAAAAAAATTTTTGCTTTTTAAATAAAAAAAAATTATAATGTTTTTATCAATGATTTACTTGCAATACAAACAGTTTTAACTCCAACATGAAACCTGGGGGTGACAGCCGCATCGTAAGACTGTAGACGAACCATGCGCCATAAGATTATAGGAAGTTTTTTGCGGAGCTGTTGTACAAACTCACCCTTATTCCCAAAACCCCCAAAAATTTAGTGTCACGTTGTGGGAAAAAAGGGAAATTTTCTTTACGGATATTCGTTTTCTTGACTAACGTAGCTTTCTTTGTTCGGTTTTAATTTTTAACATTTGTTCCAATTGCATGGCAACTCCTGGTTTTAAACTGTTTTAAAGGAATAAGAATCACATCCCATCCTACGACTTTCCCTTCCACTATACCTCTAAGTTCACAGGGGTTTTTTCTGAACTTTTTTCGATTAAATTTCCACACTGGGAAAAGAGTTATCCGAATTCTCACAGATAATAATGTATAAAAAATTGTATTTGAGGTAATGTTTGATTTGATTTTGTGGACTGTCTGTCGTGTATTTACATAGAATTATGGAGTCATAATTTTTTTAAATAAAAAGGGCTAAAAATGAAGTTGTTCAGACACCTTTTTGGAGAAGACGCCCCTTCCCCCCAACCCTCCTGGGGGGGGGTGCTGCCGGCCAGAGTTTTGGGTTTTCACCTCAGATCACAAAACTGCCACTCCCACGAGCACCCCTGAGGCAGGGAAGATGGGGGAGACCAGAGGCCAGCTTTCCCTACGAGCCCCGTGAGGGCGGGGAATGGAGCTAGGCCCGGGAAAATTGGGCCCGAAGCTGAGGAGGTACTTGTACCTCCTCCATGGGAGACAGGTCTCAGACACTCCCAAGACAGGGAGCCAAGGCCGGGACACCATCTGGAAAAGACCGGGGCCGGGAGAGTCCCAGCGAATCCAGAACAACAACAGCCTTATGGAGAATTATTAAATGGTTATAACTATGACCATAATTTTTATAAAGGTGAACCGGTATGCCAGCGGAATTCCTCGGTGAGATCACCAAAACCTCCAATGGCAGGTTATCATCTGACTAAGACCCACGTCAGGAAACACTTTTCCTGACGAACCTTACCTAACCTTATGGAAAGAATCCATAGCTTTGTGATGAGGAGGTGCAGGGGTTAACAAAAATATTATCTAGATGTCGGAAGAGAGGTTGAGATGGTTTGGACATTGAGAGAGGATGGAGTAAAGTAGGATCATTTGGAGGTTGTGTAAATATGTAGTGGAAGGAAGGCGAGATAGAGGTCGCCCTATGGATTATACGGAGGGAGGGGTAAAAGTTTTGCATGTGAGGAGCTTGGACATCGATAGCCATGCGTGAGCATGTTAGACAGGAGTGTGAGGCAAATGGCTTTCAGGACTTGACGAGCTGTGGTAAACGGCCATTGTATCAATCTTTCTCTCTCCCCCTCTCTTTCCCTCTCTCCCTCCCTCTCTCTCCCTCTCTCCCTCCCCCTCTCTCTCTCTCCCTCTCTCTCTCCCTCTCTCTGTCTCTCCTCTCCTCTCCTCTTTTTCTTTCTCCTCCCCTCTCTCTCTCTCTCTTATGCCAGATCTTCAATCACAGATTTGAAGTGAAATATTGAAAATATGAATGGATGGGAAACAGAAAAGGGTAAAATATTTGTCAAACATCTGAAGGAATTTCTGTGAGGATACAAAACATCCTTCGATACGTCAAGTGATAGATCCTGGCAACATCTACTGTGTCTACCATATTTACTCACTGTGTACCAAATCTACTCACAATGTTGACCACTGTTGTAGCCACAGATTATGGGGACACTGGACATGCCACCAGTCACCATCAGGAGTCATACACACTACACCGTTGTCATCTGGTGACTGATATTAAGATTGATTAAATCGAACCTCATCTGACAGATGTTATCGTCAACATGGTTGATGGTCAGTGTGCAGGCCCCTATATAAGTGTCCTGGGCGCTTGGGTTGATGAAATGTGTGTTGTTGAAGTTGGTTGACTCTTCACACGTCCCGGCGACTGGTAGGGAAGAGAAGAACAGAAGATTAACTTTGCAGTGTTAAGGTTTATTAAATCTTTTGTAATAGTGTAGAGACATGGTTATTCTTTTAAACTTATCCAGCATTGGTAGATGTGGCGGAAAAAAGTTCCCGGACACTTCTGGACAGAAATAATATCTGGCAACTTAGACGTGGTAAACAGAGTGAAGACTATTTTCAAGAACAAATTAACACAGCTTGTAAAGTCGATGGTGGTTGGTTGACAAAATTGCCAGTACTTTTTATTTATATAAGTAGATTTATTAAATGCAGATATGAATTAATTACCGTTCGGGTATTACATCCAATATTTTAAAACCTTAAAAATTATTTGAAAAGATGACTGAATAAATTGTAAGGAAATTGTATGGGAAATATTACTATCATATATCAGTCATATCTATTCAGGTGAAGCATAATTTGTATGTTAGGTTAATAGACAAAGATGCAGTTAATGTGACATTTTATTGTGGTGACGTTTCGCTCTCCAGGTCGGACCGAAACATTGCGAGTTATTTGTATGCTGGACTAAGGCTGCTATATAGAGCTGGCACTATAGCAGACCTTGGTACTGAGACGTCTACTTTCCTCAAGAATCGACATTATGTTACAATATTTTGTAGACTGATAATGAGCCTCGTTAATCTTCCACGACCCACCTCCTAACAGGTGTTCCTGCGCCACTATGAGTTGTGGCGTCCTGCTGACCCAGGAGTATATTCATCATGTTTGGCTTTAGCCATTTTCACTGACTTTTGCCTCTTTCCCTTGGACTTTAGACATTCCCCTCCCCCCCCCCCCCCCCCAGCTTTTGCCATCTCACATTGCTTTAACCATATCCCCGGCTTCAGCCATCTCCCCCGGCTTTAGCCAGGGAGAAAATTTCCCCTCATTCCACGTGTTCCAGTTTTGCTACATTGAATAGCTCCTGATGATGCAAGAAGAAGTTTGAAAGATCTTGAGCTGAAGATTTCTATCTCCCCTGGCTTGTCTTGTATATGTTATGTATGACAATTGTTCTTAAGTGGACCTGTATCTAAATAAACTTACTTAATCCGTTCAGGCTAACTTTAGTCTGTGTATATAACTGACCTGTAGTTGACCTCACTCAAACACTGCCACTGTTATTAAGTCAGGTTTAAAATATTAAACTTGTTTTTAGACTTTTTCGCTTACTTTCCGTTGGCTCTCTGTATCTAGCTGACATCAGTTGTGTCTGGATGTTGAAGTTGTTGATGTCCTTGTTGATATGATTTGATGGCCCAAGGTAGACACTACCACTATGCCACCCATCATCACAGCCGCCACCCACACAAACCAACCTTGCTGCTCTTCAACCCCTGCGGGTTGGAAAAAAAATAGGAAATTATTAATTCACACACACACACGCACACACAATCGAGTCTCGACCCCTGTAACCACAATTAAGTTAATTAGGCGAGTACACAAAATAGGGTAAAAAACTGGGTTATGGAAAAACTACAAGGTTTCGTGACCCTGAAGTTGTGTGTTATTATTAGTGTCACTGGGAAAAAACAAGTATGTTGTGAAAAGAGACACCTGAGCAAACACTTCAAATATTTTGTTATAAAATGTTTCTGTCTTAGGAACTTGTTCACTCTGATTTTATAAGAGTATGAGAAAAATTGGGTTTTGGGTATAATTAATGGGTCGTCAGGATGGATAAGACCCGTGTCAGGGGGCACTGCCTTATTTTCTGACGGATAAAATAACAGAGGTTTATTCTTTAAAATTTTATTATTTTTAATTATTATTATTATTATTATTATTATTATGACCAAAACCCTCGTCGAATATTTGCTCCGTGTCTGGACTATTCTGAAGTATATTATTACTTAATAAAAGTACATATGATCGTAATTGCTGAACAATAGCGAGATCAAGAAGGTTATGCTGAATCGTAGAAGTGCAGAGGGTCAACCAATGGTGAATTTTAGTGAGGTCCTCTCTCACCTCACGAAGCAGGTAGGATAAGCCCTATTTGAAACGAATGTTTTAATATCTCTCAAATGTTAACATATTTTTCCTTACTACTCTCATTCCAACAACTGTGTGTCTTTTCCCGAGATATTAATCCTCTTATACCCTTGTATTGGTGTGTTCAGTTATGGCAGTTTGTTTTAGCTTCCTGCATTTGGTATGACTTTATATGTCTTTTATAATGAATGAAGCTGGACTTCATTCAGTTTCGATGTCACTGTGTAATAACAAAACAAAACTCTAATCATTCCTCTCAACAAGCATATGTATGTCGATCCCGACAGGTACATTTACCAGCCTCTCCCACTAAAATACTGACAAGGTATATACATACACTAATGCATTATAATGGTATCCTTTATTGACAACGTTACGCCCACACAGTGAGCTTTATCAAGTCACAAAAAGATCTGTTTGGTGACTAGATAATACCCACAGTGTGAATCGTTGCAGTTAAAGAAACGCATTATGTAACCGTTGTGCTCTTATGTTACAAGCAGTAGATACTGGTGAATGACACTGGGTCGATGGACATGATGACAATATTGGCCACACTGATGTGTTGACCATATCACACGTGAGTTTTTAATTAAGGAGATAATATTGAAGATACCCTTTGCTCCTCCCCTTGCAGATGTAAAAGAAAAAAATGTTAAGAAATAAAATATCTAAATGTATGTAGGATAAAGGGAGCATTCTCCCTCGAGGTAAACAGGAACGGGAATGAAGAATGTTAAGAATCCAGTCACTACTCTCGCCTGTTCATGTATCAAGAGCACAGCGAGTCATCCTTCTTAGTAGACTCAGTGTAAACTTTCCAAGGAAGGTATCTATGACCAACTCTCATTTTAAAATGGAAGTTGATCATGGGAGTTGTGGATGAGTGGCCAGTGGGCCTGCAACAGTGCTCCTTCTTTCTCGTGTTCTAAAGCAAATGTGGTTGCAGACTCAGTCCCGTTGCTTTAAGTAATTTTAAATGTTGACCCATCTTGGATCTAATGCCAGGTTTTTACAGATTCACTGAAAACCCTCATATATTTACTTGAAATCCTGATATGGAACTCCTTGTCTCTCCGAAACTCCTTTGAAGCTATTGGATAACATGACTTAAAGGCCTATGACATGCCGAAGCACCGGTTGTAGAGCTGTTGTCGCACTTTTAGTCGAAATTCACTCATGATTTAACGAAATCGTTTAAATTATGTCTAGGTACGGGAAGAATAAGAAAGAAACAATACCATGGCTGGGAACAATTCATTTAAAACTCGGTCTTTAGATCGGAACCTATCCCACTATTTTTTATACATTTTACTTTCCTCACCTGAGTTGCGGCCTTGACAATAATCCAGAATGAAAAGTCGTCATAAGATTCCTTTAGCAAGTGCAGGTTTTTGGTGAAAAAGTTTACCAAGGTTCTTTGTTGTCGGTGATCTCCCGTCAGAGCATTTCAGTGGCAACAGTAGAAGAGACGTTGATGAATAGAGGACATTTCGTCGAAAGAAACCGTTATGAATTCTGCCATTTACGTCGAGGTGCGAGACAGGCGATTTGCTAAATGCATCGAGTATGCGGGGCTTCATATTTACCATGAAATGTAATTGTAGCAGAAGTTTCGACTAAAAGTATGATAACTTACGTATTATAACTAATAATAACTGAAAAAGGTCACAATATCGCTTTATGAATGTTAGTCCTGGCTTGTCCTTGTAGATGCCTTCCTTTCCCGCTACATTGTAAAATGCTCCGAACTTCAGAAACGTATGAATTAACCTGGTTCCTTTTTCTTCTTCTCCTTTTTCTCCTTTCCTCTTTCTCCTTTGGGTTGTCTTTCTTCTTTCTTTCTCCCCCCTCTGTGTTCTTGTTCTTCCCCCTCTGTGAGCACGTAGCTCCCTTACAGTGCTCCTCTTCCTCAGTACAGGGGAAAACCTCTACTTGCGAAGTGTCCACGTGCGAGTTTTTCCAAATAGGAGCAGTCGATGGGTCGTTTTTTTTGCTTCCATACGCGAGCAAAATTTGGACTGGCTTCTCCACCATACCAACTCCCCCACTACTACCTTCTAACCTCACTACTACCACTCCCACCTCCTGGCCTATATATACTCCTCCTCTCCTTTTCGTTATTATGACTTTGTAAATGGTCCAAGTCGGTCCGAAATGTCGTCGTAAGCTCCTCTCTATGTGCGAGTAATTTGTGTATAACTAAAAATGTTGTCGGAAAATGGCTCTAACTTCCCTAAAATATCGAAATGTTTGCAATGTAAAAAATTCCCGGCATTAGTTTATACCACAGGTGGAAGTACGGAGAAGAATATCCAGTTTGTGGATCTTTGGAAAATTAAAAAAAAAAACACCAGGGCACTGGACTGAGAGTTTTCCCTGCAGGAATGTTTTGGTATTATCTCGTAGTGGACCCAGTAAAGGCAAGGTGGTGCGGTATCATTCTCACTGTAACCACTTGTGATGGAAACGCCATTTGTGAGTAAACTGTGTTACACTTTTTGAGTGAGGTGTTTACTTGTGAGTAAAGGGTTTGTTACACTTGTGGTGAAGGTGTTAAAACTTGTGAGTGAGGAGTTACACTTGTGAGTGAAAGAGTTACACTTGTGAGTGAAAGAGTTACACTTGAGAGTGAATGTTTTTACACTTGTGAGTGAAGGAGTTACACTTGTGAGTGAAGGTGTTACACTTGTGAATGAAGGTGTTACACTTGTGATTTGAAGGTGTTACACTTGTGAGTGAAGGTGTTACACTTGTGAGTGAAGGTGTTACACTTGTGAGTGAAGGG